TTCTTTCTTTCTTTCTTTCTTTCTTTCTTTCTTTCTTTCTTTCTTTCTTTCTTTCATTTCCCTGCCTGCTTATTTCTTAGGCCAAAAAAGTTGCAGGACAAAACTAGATTTGAGTTCATTTACATTTAAACATTATTAAAATTAAATATCATTGCAGGGAAGTGTCGCCTTAGCAGACCTCCCATTTAGCAGATTTAGATCAAATAGATTGCATTTCTTTCTGAGCCTCTCCCTGGAATAACTAACAAGCCTGTTCATCCAAGGAGGTCTGGACGAGGCTGTTAAACGTATTTTAATTTTATGACATTCAGGACAAGAAATGAAATTTGCATCCTGACCTCCTGATGCGAGTGACTCCGGTTACATCCACTTGCCCCAAGTTAGGTCACTTGCATCAGGAGGTCAGGGTGCCCATTGTGTCATTCGCAGCACGACACCATGATCCAAATGACACAATGGGTCTAAATTTGATATAACATGAATTTCATCAATGGCACATACGGATGCACGTGACATGATTGGCATCGTGGTGTAATTATGAGAACGACACAAAGCCCTACGGTGACACGCTTCCGTGGTCAACGGATCTTCCCGCGTAATGGGTGCCTCCTTCTCCATAACGTCGTTAGAATGAGGTTTTGCTGTGCTATTGGTACTTTCCAGTTGCGTATATTAAGAAAATTAGAATTTGGTAAAAAAAAAAAAAGTAATAATCTTCAGAGGTCTGAAGATCACCCTGGAAAGTTGGTGGGGGCTGTCTGTGGCCTGAGAGCCCTGGAGCTGCACCTCTGTCTTAGTGTGTTGCAGCTGTGCCCCCATACGTGGGCAGCAGAGCCACGTGACGGACTGACCCACCTGCTCCTTCTTTTCCCTAGCAAGGAGCTGATGGCTGCATTCAACTAACTACTTGCTTAGCTGGGTCAGTGAAAGCCTTTGTGGCCGCATTCACCCCACGTGCAAACTCGGTTATTTTGAATCTTGATTTGCTTGGGGATGGTTAACCTCAATGGGCAAACCTGATCTGTAGGGTACTGCACGTTGATGAATCAGCCTAGTGCAGTGTAGTTTCTCAATCTTGGCAACTTTAAGAAGTCTGGACTTCAACTCCAGAATCACTGCGTGATTTGCTTAATGGACATGGTGACTCGCTTAATGACCGCTGCAAAAAAGGTTGTAAAATTGGGCACGGCTTGCTTAATAACCGCCCCGCTTAACAACACATTTTGCGGACCCTGTTGTGGTTGTTAAGTGAAGACTATCTTTAATAACTAACAATAAACAATAACCAACAATGATGGCATGGATTTTCCTCCCATTGCTTAAAATGATTCAAAAGACATTTTAATGCATTTCAGTTGCAGAATTCAGATTTTTCTGGCTGCAGAATTAGGGGCACGGACTCCCAACAGCTACTGCTCAGCCTTTCAGGAGCTGATCTTTGACTCTGGATTCTCCCCCTTCCTTTCGCCCAGGTCCAGGTTGCTGCTGGAGAATCTGGAAGATGCCCAGGTGCTGCTCGGTCTGGATGATGCTTTGGTGGACAAGCACGGCTGCCCGGCATACGTGGGCCCCGAGATCCTGAGCTTCAAGGGTTCCTATTCTGGAAAGGCAGCCGATATCTGGAGCCTGGGAGTGGTCCTCTACACACTGCTGGTGGGCTGTTATCCCTTCCAGGATACCAAGCCAGCCTCGCTGTTTGGCAAGATCTGTCGCGGACGCTTCACTGTTCCAGACGACCTCTCGCCCAAAGCTCAGTGCCTTATCCGGTGCCTCCTGCGAAGGGATCCGGCCGAAAGGCTGACCGCCCATGGAATCCTCCTCCATCCTTGGCTGGCTTCTAGCCCCGTCCCCAAGGCCTTATGGGTCAGCACCCCTGGCGTGCAGGGACTAGAGCAAGTGGTTCCTGAAGTGGGGAGCTGGAAAAAGAGTTCGGACAAACTGCAAGAAGAAGCCAGCTGAAGTGCCCTTGAGGGGGAAAGTGCAGAAGAAGGAATGCGTCTGGCATGGAAGGAAGATGGATGGTTCCTTGCCTCCTTGACGCCGTATCTCAGCAGCCTAGGAAGTGCCTTTTGGTGGACAAGGACCTTTCATCTTTGCCCTCCCATGGGGCAGATGTCACTTTACCCCCAAACGTGGGGAGGGGGGGCCCATGCCCCTTTCCCCTTTGCATTGTAGCATATGCCAAAGAAACCTTGGGGAGTTTGGTGGTCACCAGCAAACTTTCCTGCTCTTAAAGAGGGCTGTTTTGCACCTTTAATTCGGGATCTGTATTGCTGGTCTGGAGAAGGACCGTGGAGCCCCCTGGATGATTGGAGAAGGAGATCTGGGGGGAAGCCCCAATTGTAGATCTTCCCTTTTCAGCATCCAATGGCTGGATTTCAGGATCCACGATTTCACTGGAAGGGATGGATTGAAAGAACCGCTCCCCATCCCCTGGAGCCCAATTTTGAGGGACCCACACTTTGCAGAGAATTGGGATCACTTTCCCTGGTGCCAAAGAAAAGGCTGATTTGCAGGATGGGACTGATGCTTTCTGATGGGGAGGAGGGGGTAGCCTCAGAGAGAAGAGGCCAAGGTGGCCCACTGTGCTTAGGACAGATACCTGCACTAGGAGGGTGGTTGGATTAATCAGTGTTTCTCAACCTTGGCCACTTCAAGATGGGTAGACCTCAACTCCTAGCATTCTCCAGCCAGGAGGCTGACTAGGGGATTCTGGGACTTGAAGTCCATCCATCTTGAAGTTGCTGAGGTTGATAAACACTGCTCCAGAGGGTCTTCCTTCACCCTCTGAGTCAGAAATGTGGCCCATTGCATCAAGGGCCTTGTGACATTGGAAGATGCCTCCCTTTTCTGTAATGCTGTCCACCATATTTTCTAAGCTTGGTGACTTTGCTTTGGTTGGTTTTCCACCTCTGCTGCACCCCAGGATTGTGTCAACTTGGGTGTGTGTGTGTGTGTGTGCGCACACGTGCTGATTTTAACCACAGCCTGTGAAGATGGAACAGTGGTTTTGAGGGTGGCGAAACAAGGTCCTTGTCATGTGAGCCCATAGTTCTTGGTTGGGTTTGAAAACCCAGCCAAGACTGGGGGTCATCAAGATCTGGTCCTTCCTCCTGGCCTCAGGATCCTCCCCATAACAGCTCTGGACAACCCCTCCCTCAAGTTTCTTTCTCTGACTCCAAAAATCGAGATGTTGTAGGAAGAGAGCCATAATAGAACTTGGTTGGGCTGAAGCATAGCCATCAAGGAAGGCATTGATGACTTTGCTAAGCAAGATATGGTTGCATCTGAGCTCCTCCTCCCTCCCCCCAACTCTGCAGGGCTTATTCTTGGTTTGTCCATGAGTTCCAAGAATTGAGCTGGACTAGTCACGGGTGCTCAAGGGTCACCTTCCCAGGCAAGCCAAACCATGGCATGTTGGTTCTGCCTGCAAGATCTACCACCTCTTCCACTCCAAGGTGGAGCATCTTCCCCCAGGGAAGAACTGTGATTTATGGGGAGCCCCAAGGCCAGTCAGCTTCATCTAGAGGGGATGCCTCAGGAGACAGTAACTGGAGGAGAAAGAGGTGTCCGCTCTCCTTCCCTGAGAACCATTGTGGCTTCTGGCCAGCCGAATTTCCAGCATGCTTCTCAAACTACCTCTCCCAGAATTCTTTGGGAACAAACTTCTCGCTGTACCTTCCAAGCTGCTTTATGCTTCCTCTGTGTGTGTGCGTCTGTGTGGGTGTGCACGCGACCTGTTGGACCTTGGCTTTTGGGATGATGGGTTTGGCCCAAACCCAAATGAAGTGCATTCTCCAGCCTTAAGAACAGGGATTGCAGATAGCCTGTGGGTTTAATGGCTCATTCTTACCTGCTCCTTTAAAGAAAGGAAAAGCAAACTTTGGCCCGGGGGGTGAATTCCCTGCAGATCCCAAGCCCACCAGGGATTGTGCAACGGCTGCCTCTCCTCTGATCCTTTCGACTGACCGCTTCCATTACCCAGACGTTGGTGTGTGTAGCAAGCACCAGTGTGCCTTTTCATCACTGACCAAATAGCAAGAGCCACGGGGAGCCACCACGCACCTGCTGGGCCCCACACCACCTGTCTGGGAGAAGCCACCGTAAAGTCCCATGCAACGTGGTGTCAGATTACATCAGCGTATTGATTACGTCAACCCTGAAAATGATTGCACGTTGTATGATGAGGCTACGACTGCATGACGTCACTTTCCACCCTTGCCCTCTGCAGAGGCATGTGGCCCACAGGCTAAATTTGGTTAGGATTAACCTTGGTTTGGATTTGGGGGGGCTCAGTACAGTATATGCGCACACCACTTGGACAATTTAGAGTTCAGTGGCTGTGGGAAACCAGCAAATGGGTTAATTCCACAATCAAGCATTGAACGTGCAGCCTTCGTTCAACGCCCAAACCAGGGCTAAAATTAGGGTGGACTGTTTATGGTGGCGCACAGTGTGAGATCCCAGCGTTGTATGTACCTGGTGTGCGACCCTGGCTATCACCTTGTGCCAGATTATAGTTTATTTCCATGGGAACGTACATTGTGTGAACCCAGCTGCTGTGTTTTATTAATCTGGGTTTAGTGTGCTATGGGAACCCAGTCTCTCTCTCTCTCTCTCTCTCTTTTAAGAGCAAGTTTGCTTATTTTTCTGTCTTTTGGAAAATAAAAGATGAGCTGATTAGTGTTTGCAGCATTTTTTGTGTGCTTTTGAGTTGGAACGAGGGGTTCTGCCTGGGTCCTGTTCCTGCAGCTTTCCTAGGGTCCGAGCTGTCTAAACCAGTGTTTTTCAAACTTGGCAACTTTAGGATATTTGGGCATATCAGACACATATTAAATGTTAAATGATGTTTTAAAATATAAAAAAAACTCTAAAAAAAGAAAATGATACTCTATACTCTACTTATTGTTATAAAATATGAAGTCTGCCAAAGGGAGACATACAAAAATGACATACATACTGTCATTTTTTGATCAGTAGAATTAATCTGGGCTGTCCATCTGATTTAACGGTTTTAGCCGTTTTTATGTTTTTTTCTAGTTGTGTACGCTGCCCAGCGTCCGTTGGAGTTGGGCAGCCAATACATTTTAAATAGCCTTTTAATTTAACTTCATATTCCAATTTCAAGGCCACCAACCCTGGGCAGGTTACAATGAAGTAAATTAAAAAACAACACGTACAGTATTAAAGAGAAGAAGACAGCTGAACAGAAGACCAACTCATAGTATGAAAAAAAAAACCCAAAAACCTATTTAAAGCAAAAAAACACGGGCTCAACCACCATCCTACCCCAAGGCCTGGGAGAACCATCAGGTTTTCAGCAATTTGTGAAAGACCAACAGGTTGAGAGCTGGTCAGAACTTTTTTCAAACACAAATAAATTGCACAAAAATAGTCAGATTCCAAAGTTTGGGGAGATGACTTAACAGAACGCTGACATCTTTAACATGGAACATTTTCCCCCTAGACCTAATAATGTGTGTTGAGATATTTTGGGAAGGTGTCAATTACTCAGGGGTCAAAATCTTACCACCCCTCAATTTTTTCATAGGATTTTAATATCTTTCCATGGGGCTGGGGAGCTGGGAGAGTCTGGTGGCCAAAGGCTCCAGTCCTGAAATGCTGAACTTGCTGCCCTGCATAGCCATATTCCCAATTTCCCACCCTCTGGATGGCTTCGCCTGGTGCCCATCCCCTACTTCTGGAAATGGGCTCATTTCAGGCCGAAAAGGGGCAGCTCCACACAGTCGAGCCCGCACCTCGCCCACGGAATAACCCCGAAAAGCGAAGCGGGACCGGACTGGGTCGGGATGCGGATGGGGGGCCACCAGGTGATCCCAGAGCTGCCCGCTGGGCTGGGGGACCGGAAAAGGCACCCCAGAAAGGGACTGTCCGGCTGGCCGCCTCCCCACGAATCCGGCCCGACTCGGCCGACGGGGCGCGGTCGGACAGAGGCGCGGGGGCGAGGGGCGCCGCCCGCAGGAGGCACC